AGTGTCGGAACGAACGACATTAGATATGCAGACTCTTTAGATAAGATTAAGCTTAAATTTAAGAGTCTATGTGCTTTAATCAAAGAACTTTACACTTCTTCAAAAGTTTATTTTCAGTCCCTTTTACCTCTGCCTTGCAAAAGCAGGCATGACTGGAGAACTAACTCTTTTGTTATGAAAATGAATAGTGTCATCAAGAATGAATGTATATATCGAAGATTCCATATGTTAGACGCTTTTCGTCCATTTTCTCTACGATACTTTGATCCACGAGTACCTCATATCAGAGATGATAGATTTTTCAAGGCTGGAGACATCCATCCCAGTGAGGCTAGGGGCATGGGTGTCCTAGCTAAACTTTATCTGAGAGCGGTTCATAGTAACTTTTTTGACCCATTCACTTTTCAGTAATTACTATTAGGGCTTTAGGGGTCAAGCTAGTTTTCATAATTCGAATTTTAAGATATATTAGACTGTGTTTTAAAAGTTTTTGGAGCTGGATGTCGGTTAACAGGGTTCCCTTAATGCTACTAGATGATAGATCTAAGTCAATATAGATTAAGAGTTGGTATTTATAACAACAGTAAGAACCGCAGATCTAAGCAGGTTAGTATAACAGGTAACTTTGTGCCCGACATCGGGGTTCTTGATGCTTTAAGACTTTTTGTTTTGATTTATTTGTATCTCTATTTTGCATTATGTGTGATGAGTGTGACGATTGGGATGGCTTTGGAGTGTCATTTTAGACCTTTTACTGTCACAGCCTTCCACAGCATCTCAGACAATGAATTTATTCATCTCTTCCACAGTCATAGCAAAAGCTATGCTGCGGTATTAATGTTTTTTCTCTTCAAAAAAGACTGGTGGCTTTATAAAATATTAGGGGCTTCTCCTGGCTTACTTGGCAAGCTGAACTTCACTGGTCTTGAAAACAAGCCAGACAGTTACGGATACATTCAGCTAATTATGCACTACCTCAATATTATTACTGTTGGCTGCATGCTTTGGATACATACCTTGAACGCTGTCCTTTTAATTATTGTCAACCCAAGCTTACTTAACCCTGGGCCTACTACATACCTCAAGGTTGTTTCTTTTAATACGCATGGCCTGATTCCCTTCTCACAGCTACAGTCCGACAATCCTTCTTTTGACAACACTAAAATATTTGAACTCCATCACTATATTCACTGCCATGAACCGGACATCCTCCTGATCAATGAATCTTGGCTTAAAAAGTCTATCATTGACTCTGAAGTCATACCTGAATCGTACAAAGTTTTTAGACTTGATCGTTCCTTACAAACCCATCCACCAGATCCACAGAATCCAAGAAGATTTAGGAAGCATGGGGGTGGCGTTTTAGTTGCTATACGTAGGGACATTGATATTGTATCTACTAAGTTAGAGTACAAGTGCCCGGCAGAGCTTCTTGGTATAACACTCAAATTTAGGGACGGTAGTAAACTTATTCTTTGCAGCTTCTATAGGGTAGGTACTTTAGGGGCCAACAATCATAACGCCTTCCAAGATTATGTTAGGAAGGCAAGGCAACGTAGAGGTGTTAGAGGTATTGTAATTGCAGGGGATCTTAATCTACCTGGTATTGATTGGCAGAATTACTGTAGCAGCAATCCGGTTGAACAGCTCTTTCTAGATACTTTTAGTAACTTTGGTTTAGAACAACTTATTACCAGTCCAACACATACTGGAGGAAACATTCTTGATCTAGTCTTAACCGATAAACCCCATCTTATCTCCGATATAAAAATTTCAGAACATAATATTCCATGTAAGTCCGACCATTTTGCAGTCTCCTTTACTTTGAAATCAAAGGTGAAGCGCATCAAATCGCAAAAGAGGGAATCTTTAAATTTTAAAAGAGCAAATTGGGATGCACTTAATGCAGACCTTGCAGATATTGACTGGCAGGCAGAGTTCACTGGTAATATGGAAACATCATGGAACAAGTTTAAGGAGGTTTTAGAGCAAAGAACCAATGAACATATTCCAAAGATTAAAATTGGAGGCAGGGCTCAACCTCCTTGGTTTGACGCTGAGTCTCATCAGGCCTGCCTAGAAAAAGAAAGGCTACACAAAAGTTATAAAGAAACCACGGACCCTTCCTGCAAGGCTGAGAAGTACTTTAAGTTCTCTAAAAGCAGAAGCGATTTTAAGAAAATTGCCTCCAACAAGATGGCATCTAGCTTTGAGGACGAGGATGATTCGAATCTAATTACAAAGAAATTCTGGTCCTATGTAAAAGCAACATCTAAGAATACTCGCATACCTGAACAGATTCACCTAGAAGATGTACACAAAAGTGATCATTCTGACCAAGCAAACCTATTTAATACCTTTTTTCATCAACAGTTCTCATCGCCTAGTGATTATGATGTACATGTTGATAACACACTCACACAGGATGATATTGATTATGTATCTACCCTTTTCAGTTCGTCTAGGATAGTAGATATTCTCAAGAATTTGAATACTAGAAAAGCTATGGGACCGGATAAAATCCATGGTGAAGTTCTTAAAAAATGTGCCTTTACGTTAGCCCCAGCACTGGAGATTCTTTTCACAAAGTGCTATGTATCCGGCTTCCTACCTTCAAATTGGAAATATGCAATTGTTGTTCCAGTACACAAGAAAGGCTCCAAGAATGACATTAAGAATTATAGGCCAATATCTTTGACTAGCTTAGTTATGAAAGTCATGGAAAGAATTATTCGAGATGAACTTTTGAGTAGATGTTATGATAAAATTGATCCTCGTCAACATGGTTTCCTGCCTCACAAATCTTGTGCAACTCAGATGGTTGAATTCTGCGATAGCCTATCCCTCTCTCTTAACAAGAACATTAGATCTGATATTGTTTACTTCGATTTTGCCAAAGCATTCGATTCCGTTAACCACGACTTAATACTATACAAGCTAAAATTTTATTATAACATCGATGGAATGCTTCTCCAATTTATGAAAAGTTACCTCTCCGGACGTCAGCAATGTGTAGTTGTTAATGGGGCTATCTCTGCAACCCTACCGGTGTTGTCAGGTGTTCCTCAAGGGTCAATAATCGGACCAACACTTTTTGTTCTTTTCATAAATGATATATATTCTGGACTTTCTCAGGGCACTAATATCCTTTTATACGCTGATGATACTAAAATGTGGAGAGAGATATCCCAAGAGGAAGACCACCATATACTTCAAAGCGATATTAATTATCTCATGACATGGGCAAGAACTAATAAGATGAAGTTTCATCCTGATAAATGTAAGGTCTTAGCTATACTTAAGAGGTGGTCTCCCTTAGATGGCATTTTACCATTTACACGTTACACTTACTCTATGGGCCAAACTCTTCTTGATTATACAGATTCTGAAAAAGATTTAGGCATAATCATGACGTCTAATCTAAATTTTAATAGCCAGGCCGATGCTCTATATGGTAAAGCTAACCAAAAATTTGGCATGCTTAAGAGAAATTGTCATTTTATTAATGATCTGAACAAGAGAAGAGTCTTGTATCTTACTCTTGTACGCTCAATATTCGAACACTGTCCCATCATCTGGCGACCAGCGTCCAGTAGCACTATCAATAGGCTTGAAGGATTGCAGAAAAGGGCCCTCAAATGGATTCGTAATGATTACGGTGTAAGCTATAGTGTAGAGGAAATCTATAATGCCCATTGTAAACAGTTAAATATTCTGCCCCTAAAGTACAGGTTTGATTACCATGATCTCAAGTTCTTTCATTCCCTAGTGCATCAATACCACCCATGCACCACTCTGCCTCAGTACCTTACTTTCTTCTCCGGGTCAAGCCGACTGAGAAGCTCACATCTTGATCACTTATCAGTAATATCTTCAATTTCACCTGGCTCAGCTATATCTAAATCTTACTTTTATCGAGCTCATCTCACTTGGAACCGACTTCCTCTTTCCCTTCGAGAGATTATCAGACCAGGTGTGTTTAAAACAGAACTTATTAAACACATCTGGAAGGAACATGTTTGTACTGCATCTGTAGATATTGACCCTAGTTCAGATCCTGACAATTCTTTTTCCCCAGACTACGGGTAGTGTATTTCTCTATTATTTTTGTTTTTATTTTTTTTTTGAGGTACTCATCACGCATTTTTGCTTTATTCGGATACAATTTTGATTTAGTCTTTTATATTCAATTATTTAAATTTTATCGTTAAAACTTCATTCCATTGGAAATATTACAAATCAGCCAATTGTAATTGAGAATTTTTGGGTTGTGGCAATTATTCTTAAAAACCTAGAAATGCCTCCTAAGTTCACAGCTCATATTATTTGCCCATTTTTCTCCTTCTGCACTTGGGGCCCAATGTAATTGCTCGACTTTTCATCAGGTCTCTCGAGGCCTTTTGTTTAGTTATTTGGGTGTATTGGTGTCCCCTGATTGTTATCATCGCTGTACACTTGTCAAGGCATTTTTTGGTTTCTCTAGTCCATTTTTAGAAATTCTATACAACATTGATATTGTAATAAATTCTGATGATAATAATTGAAAGATTTCAATAAAAAAAAAAAATTTCAGTACTAGATACAGCGCTTTCAGTACTAGATGCGTCCATTGTAAAATAACTTCGGACAGCTTTGAGCAGGTGAGTGTCTAGTTGTCGTAGCATTCCAGCAGCAACAATCGTTGGGGTCTTCGCTTTTTTCTGGGGGGTAAAAACATTGTTAGCATTATTGATGTCGTTTTGGTCTGGGCATGTTTCAACCATCATGAAGTTGTGTAGGTATGTAGATAGTAGTAAGGAGGTTGGGCCAAAGACTGGATCAAAATCGAAAAAGTTTAAACCAACCGGAGAGGTTCCGACTTATGGGTCGGACTCCCTTTGTATATTTGGGAAGACGAGAAGAAGGAGATCTTCAGTTTCAGGTATGGAGGCGTTATCTGGTCTGTCTTATCTACGATTCCACTACAATTCCACTACTTGTTTTGCGTACATGACACATACCTCAAATTATTTGTTATATAGTAGTGTTGAAAGTATTAATTTATATTTTTTTTCGAACAGTCTACAGATAATTTCAGCAATGGTAATTGTCTAGCTAAAAGGATAGACACCCTCGAAAAATGAATAAACCAATACAAAAGACCTATATGTTCAACTCAAAATAAAATCACACAAATTCATCACATGACATCACATCACAATACCGTTGGCCTTACTTAATGCTGGTCTTTTCAGCGAGATGTTTTAGGAACTGTGAAGCCTCAAACGCCATTTAATTCCTCCTGTAGTACTGAACACCAGTGGCGTGAATGTAGCCTTTTCTACATGGAAGACTTTGTCGTTATACTCATGTTTTTTGTTTTTCTCGTGAGATTGGTACATCTGCGAGATGTTCTTGTCACTGTTGGACTGGGTTTGAGGGTGAAGCACCCTTACATCTCTGAATGCCCTGTCCGGCGGCGACCAGAACGATCTCGCACTGATGTCTAGTCTTGCACCATCTTGTCTATTTGTTCCATTGGATAGTTTAAGTGTGTGAGGAACAGATATAAGCTGAGGTAATTTTTCAACGTATTTGCAAACAGTGGTTAGGAGTTCAGCTACTGTATATCTGAGTGAATTGTGTTTAAGTGAAACGTAGCCTCCTCAGATAATTGGTATTTTATGTTTACTGTTCAGTACTTTGTCCCAGCATACAACTAATATTTTAATCGCAATCCCTTGATTTAATTTTAGTTGAGGGATGTATCTGCCATAATACTTGTTTTCGCCTCATTTTATAAAAAATCTTGTGAAAAGGCCCTGTGGGTATGAAACTAATCTAAATCGGTGTATTTTTACATAAAACAGCGCTAGCAGGGGCATGTTACAAAGCTTTTGTACAAAGCTGATTGAAACGCCATCTTCGAGGAATGTCTTTTTTAGTAAATACACTATTTTTTGTTGTATCACGTTGCGACCCCCACGGTCGTTTTACTTCGTGCGCGGTGGGTCATATACATACAACGTATGACAAATTTTTTGCAAGCTTTACAAAAAGCCATACGAGACAAAATTAAAATCAAAACATTATTAAACTAAAAATGTATTTTTGAGTTGTATTGCATGTTGTGACCCCATTGTTGTTTCACCAAAGCTAAATGTATCGTGGATACTCGTGCGCCGCGCGGTTGGTATACAACGTATAACAATTTTCGAGTGAAAGTGGCAAAATAATTTCGCGCGCATTTTATGATTTTGGTACTTCAGTACAATTTTGTGAACGATTTTTTAAGAATAATTTTTTAGATCTCATAAAATTAGAAAAATGTATTAAATATTAAAATAAAAATATGTACAGAAAAATCGAAAACCTAAAATTTTAGGTGCGCCGCGCATATTTGTGTAAATTATCATAAAGATCGAGCGCTAAAGCGAATACTGTTATAGCGTTATACTGTCTTAGATTTAAGAACATATTCTTGTGGCACCCTTGTCACGTCACACTATAGGTTGTTCATGAGAGAAGCTTACTGGGCGGCGCTCAGCCTGTCATTCCGCCGAATCTTTATTATTGTTTACGAATTTTTATTATTGTTTATGAACATAATAGCCTGGGGTCCCCAGGTAAGAGAAAAGCAAGCATTTGACTAACTTATTTGTACTAATCTTTATTGTTTTTATTACATTTTATTTTGCAGTTGCTTTATCGATTTCAATATTCTCCATCTTTGTTAATTGAAACTGAAATTATGGATTCCCTATGTATTTACGCTTATCGAATGCTCGTATCTATTTGATTATTAGAAATGTTGAGCATTCAACAGCAAACAGATCTGTGAGATAATATTGAGACGAGCAGATTTAAATTAGTCAGTCTAGCTAGTTTTTATATTCAAAGGGGTCCTGGTAGAATATTCTGGATGGGCTTATTAAAGTAAAATAAAGTAAAGTAAAAATTATGACATAACATCATCACTTAATTGACGATGTCAATTCATGGCAGCTCGGCGCGGCACAGTAGCGCATCTCGCCGATCTAGCCAGAGAAGCCTTATTGAGTGCGCGGCGCGGCACAGTAACGCATCGCGCTACAACATCATCACTAATGTCTACAAAGTATCATCACACTACATGGAAAAAATAACTATTTCTCCATCAAATTTTAAGGTAATAATTTATCAAATATTAATCATGAATAAAAACAACATTACAAAATTTAATTTATTCATACTTCCCAGTGGAGTAAAGATTTATAAAACATTTCTTTGCTACATAAGGATGAAACCACATATGATCATTGTTTTTTTCCTTATTACTGATATAACTGGTACCTTCAACTCTTGTTAAAACTTCTTTCGAAACATTCCAAAAATGAAAGTCATTTACAATACATTTAGAAATCATATTCTTTTTTAAACTTTCTAATCCAATTTTAAAACTCAAAACTGTCAAGCAGTTCTTCACCTCCGAAGGGAGTTTGTCACACTCTTACTACATCTATTGGATGACAAGCCAGGAGGGTACGACCCCTAATAAGTATGAAAAGAGTAAGTAAGTAAGTAAGTAAGTAAAGATTATGGCATAACAAAGTAGAAAGTAACATCATCAAAAGTGTCTACAAAATATTAGAGTATCTGCCGACTCAGGTCATCTTGGTCTTACACATAGTACATGTCATGTAGTAACTATAGCACCATTTAAATGTAGATTCAAAATCGTTTGTCTCTAATCTCTGATCTCGACGCCACTACAACCCGACTACCAGTTAGCCTAGGTGCAGAAATGCTTGCCGTTAAAATTTCTTTTCCTAACAAAGAGAGCATTGTAATCTGTACTTGTTGTAGAGTAGGAACTCTTGGGTTACCTAATCATGATGTCATAGTTAGTTATATTCGCAAGCTAGTTTCCAAAAAGAATCCCCCTAAAATCTATGTTATTGGTGATTTTAATCTCCCCCATACAGACTGGCTATCTTCATCCAGTACCGTACCTATTGAGCAATCCTTCATAGATTCTTTCAGTGATCTTTCTCTCTCCCAGTTGATCACATCACCCACCCATAAAAGTGGTAATACATTAGACATTCTTCTCAGTAATTATGATAACACAATCGATAACTTGAATGTCTGTGATCCTCATTCCGTGTGCAAATCTGATCATTTTCCTGTCACTTTTTCAATTAAAAGCTCCTTTTCCCGTAAGAAAACTCCTAAACGTAAAATCTATAATTTTAAGAAAGCAAACTGGGACATGATTAATCGTGAATTATGCTCGATTAATTGGCAAGTCCTAGAATGCCTAGATCCTGATTCGTCTTGGAAGTTAGTTAAAGACTGCATTATGAATTTAGTTGATATACATATTCCTAAAGTAATTATTAAATCAGAGTTCCAACCCCCGTGGTTCGATAGTGAACTTTTTTCTTCATGCCGTAAAAAAGATAGACTCAGAGCTAAATTTAAAACTTCTGGTTCTATTTCTGATGAGTTAAAGTTTGTTACTAGCCGTAAAGATTTTAAGAGGCTCTCATCAGCCAAAATAAGAGATAATCTTTTTAATAGTGATGATCCAGCGCTTATAACTAAGAAGTTTTGGTCACATGTTAAGTATAAATCTAACTCCTGCCGTATTCCTAATTGTGTTAGTTATTCTGGACAGCTTCGGTTCAATCCCAAAGATCAAGCTGAACTTTTCAATTCTTTCTTTTATAACCAGTTTTCGGATCCTTCACTTTATGACACTGACATCTCCTATGTCAATGATGTTGATTTTGATATTGACTTCGATCATCGGGATGTTCGTAAGCTTCTTTCAAATATTAATTCAAATAAAGCCCAGGGACCAGATGGCATACACGGTAAAATTCTTAAAAATTGTTCCGTAGGTTTAGCTTACCCTCTAACATGCATTTTTCGTGGATCCTACAACAGCGGCTACATTCCACAAGAATGGAAACTTGCAAATGTTGTCCCAATATTTAAGAAAGGTAAGAAAAGTGAGGTTGAAAACTATAGACCAATATCCCTTACTTGTTTAGTCATGAAAGTTTTTGAGCGCATTGTTAAACGTAAACTGCTTTCTTTGACAAGTACCCTTCTTGATCCCAGGCAGCATGGTTTTCTAGAGCACAAGTCATGCACAACCAATATGGTTGATTTTTGTGATAGCCTGGCATTGTCTCTTAACGAAAACATTATCAATCATGTTGTGTATTTTGATTTTGCTAAGGCATTTGATTCTGTAAATCATGATATCCTTCTTCATAAGCTAAAGACCTTATATAACATTGATGGTACACTTCTCAAATTTCTTACCAATTACCTTCAAGGCCGTTACCAAAGAGTGGTTATTGGTAATGAGATGTCATCTACCCTCTCAGTTAATTCTGGTGTCCCCCAGGGCTCTATCCTTGGTCCCTTACTTTTTGTATTGTTTATCAATGATATTCCTCTTGGCCTTTCGGATAATACTGATATTGTTTTGTATGCCGATGATACAAAAATCTGGCGTAAAATACATTCATCTTCTGATAATACCAATTTACAAATGGATATAGACTATCTCTCTGACTGGGCACTTAGAAACAAAATGCGATTCCATCCAGCAAAATGTAAAGTGCTTATTGTTTCAGGAAAACCATCTTTATCTCCTCCATTCGCATATAATCTTGATGGCTCTCCTCTTGTGTATGTAGAGTTAGAAAAAGATCTTGGAGTCGATGTTACTCCTAAGCTCAGTTGGAATAGTCAGTGCGACAGAATTTATACTAAGGCCTGCCAACAACTTGGTATGGTCAGAAGAGATGGCCATATTGTCATTGATCAGAAACGTCGCCGGGCGCTTTACCTCTCCCTGGTTCGTAGCCAATTCGAAAATTGTTCCATAATCTGGCGCCCTTGTAATAAATCACTTAGTGATAAATTAGAAAGTCTCCAAAAGAGAGCTATTAAATGGATTCTGTCTGAAGAGGGCCGCAGTTATCCACCTGAGCAATATGTCAAAAAGTGCAAGCTTGTCGACATTCTCCCTTTGTCTCAAAAGTTTGACTTGAAT